AAATTATCGTTTGACTTCCTCACAACAATATAATGTTTGCAACTTTTTGCAACTAACTTATGCCACATGCAGCAAGATTCTGACTGTTAAAGACTTTAAGTAAATATCCGGGATAGAAATTTACACTATCGGCTTAAATTCAAATTAGTGAAAATCTATAAGAACAATTGGATTATATATATTATTTTATTAACAGAAGGTTTACTTTAGCAGCAAAATTTTGCTAGACACTGTAGATTTCTCCCCGTTCCTGTCATTCTTCTATAGATTATTTTAGTCCAAATATCATCTCATTTCAATTTAATTCAATAAATCACACGAATGGTTCGTCTTCTAAGTAAAATATCCAGACACTTGGTTACGCACACACACGCGCCCTCTTATACAAACAATGCCTTTTCGGTGCTTTGAACCACGTCCAGTCTGGGATACTCAATCATTTTTACACTCAGTCTGGCAGGCTGACAGGCCAGCCGGCCTGCCGGCCCGCCAGTCCTCTGCCTTCCTTATCAGGCGTAAATAATCACAAACGTTGGCTAAATAATAAATACATATATGGGATGTACTTGGTCATACGTGTATATATACATATATACGCTTTACAGGCCTTGGCCGCCCCGCTCCGCATTTCGGCCCAATCAACTGGCATTAATAGCCTGGCGCAGTGAGGCACTTAGTCTGGGCGACTGGAGGCCGCTTTTCGTGCGGCATGAAAAATGATGCAACAGCCGTCTGAGCAGCAGGCATTAAGCGCGGTCGCATTTCCAAGCAATACGAAAATAAATATTAAATAATCATTTATTTTCGCAAAAGTGTGCTTTTTCTTTTTCTTATTGCTTGTTTATGTTATTCCCTGTTCCATATATGTTTGTTTGCCTGTTTTAACACCGGGCCTTATGCGTGTTATGGCATATGAGGCGACAATTTCTTTTGCTTAATGCCTGGCTGCGTCGTCCGTAGGCGGAAAAAAATCATACCATTTTACTTTTTAACTGCTCATTTTAAGTCTTTACAACAGTTTGTTTAATGGCTTTAAGTCACGATTACCTTTTGCGGTAATTTCAATTATAATAACGAAAGATGTAATATTGATTTATATTAAATATTTTTAACAAAATATCCAAAAATATAGAGTATAAACAGTCTAATTCAGTTTTACCTAGAACTATAGTAGATAATATATTTTAATTGAGATTCATTATTGATCAAAATGTATCCCCTATATTACCGAAAATTGAGTATATACTGTAAACTGAATATACAATTTTTGTAAAATTGAAGCTTAAGATCTATATAATATTCTGATATTTTTATCATCTATTAGCTAACAAATTGTCTGTTCTTCTGTGTAATTTACGTTGTATTTTGGGCCTTTTTTAATCAAAATTAAAGTTTTTACTTAATTAGTAATTTTAATTTACTTCTTTAGCCTTTGACTTGCATGAGCCCTTTATTTTTAAATCTATTTACTTTTCAGCTTTAAATAAAACAATTTGTAAAAGTTGTCTCCCTTCACCCACAGCCAACATTCCGCCACAAAAACCACCAAGGAAATGTGTGTTAAATATTATGCAAAAGTTGCAAATTGCGACTAAAAAGGCATTCGTAAAATTGCAGACGGCAAAACATTTTAATAAACTGTGCTCATACATCAAATGGCAGGTAATACACACACACACACACACAGACACACCGACGTACGCGGCAGTCATGGCAACACCTAAAGGCACATGCATGCCAACGCACACACACTTGCGCACGTAATTGGCGGCAAAACAATTAGTAAAATTTCACAGTTCAGAGTAAGCGGTGTCTATGAGTGTATTAGAGTAGTGCGTGTGTGTGTACTTAAAATATTTGTACACAAAACTGTGCATAACAGTATGCAGCAGCAAATAAACAAAAAACGTCTGACGAGTTGCCTAAGTTACAACTTGAAGAGCAGCTGGAGAGCATGAGCGGAGAGGGCGGCGCAGGCAACAGTTGTCTGCTGAACTCAGTGCGACTGTGGCAATCTCTCAAGTGGTAAAAGCCAAAGCATTGCAACTGTTGACACACTTTGGCAATTGCAGCAGTTGCTGTTGGGGGCGTGGCAGCAAAAACATTTTACTCGTTGCTGGACCCGTAATAAATTACCGTAATTTGCAAAACACTTAGTGCATGGGCTGAGCGATTGCTCCAGCATGTGTGAGAGTGTTTGCCTGTGCATGTGTATAAGTGTGAGAGGAGCATTAGCATACGTGCGCACTTTTTTAAGCAGCTGCAAAACATAGGCAAGCGACGTGTGGCAAAAGCAAAGGAATGTCGCAATTTCCGTTTGAAGCGCAGCAACTGGCAAGTTGCAAATGTCATGCATACACATAGACGAACACACACTTACACCTGGCTGTCAAGCCAGGCTCGTTGATTGGCTGTATAAGCTGCAAAGATGTAGACTCACCGAATCGCAGCGAGCTGCCTTAATGGAAATGCTATGCTGCATGTCACCAGCTGCCAGCTGCCATTTGTCAGCTGGCTATAGATGAAAGAGATCTTTTTCTATAAATGTCGCATGTGGCCTACTTATGGGCGCCATAGCCTCGCACATATTTAATTGGTATGCATCAATAAATAAATTTTATCGAACAAAATATAAAAATCAATTTCAAATCGTAAAATCGAAAAAAAGCTGTGACATAATTTTCTATAACTATATAGTATTTTTGAATTAAACACATGAAAATTGAAAAATTATATTTTAAATATAACTTCAAATACTAGCAACGAGAAGTACTTCTGTCAAGCACAGCCAAACTTGATTGCAAACATAGGACATTGACTGCAAGCTTTAATAATCTAATTAGGTTGTTTTACCAGCAGATAATATTAAAGAGCACGTACATGAAATTCGTGTGCTCAGCCAAGACAGAAGAGAATGACCTCCAACTGGAGCACCGAACTTTAAGGTCTTTTTCGAGTTCAATTCAGTTGGTATTTACTGGGCCGATTCGAGTGGACAACAAATCAGAGTGTGACATCGAAACGTCTTCAATTTGAAATGACGAGGACAATGAGCAGCGACTGAAACATAGTCGGAACATGGGCACTAGCAGCAGCAAGAGCAGCAGTTGTTGGGGCACAAGGCAAAGGAATAGCGAACGGATATGAACTGCAAGTGCGCTGACTGTCAATAGGAATGCCAACGGGAACGACGAGGACGAAGAGTATATCATCGTCATGCCGACGTTTGTTGTTGATGAGCTTCTTTTCGAGTGTCCACACACAGCAGAGACAACAACGACAACAACAATGAAACATAGCACAACTTGAGGTGGGCTGCCCACTTGACGCTTTTACTAACCTTTTCAACTTGTTCAAACAAGTTGGCAACTTCATTCGTTTTCTTGAAATGCTCGTCGCGTCCACTTGGCCGTTTGTTGGGGATGCGGGAGCAAGTCGCATCATGTTTGTACTTTTTGATGTCCCGGTTGTATATGTGCAACAGTTGCAAGCACTTGAAGTACTGCAGTTGTCAGCGTGCAAAAGAGCCACCCGCAAATATCAAGCATACGCCACAGTAACAGGCTCAGCCTTCATTCAATTTATTGTCAACAATATTGGCTGGCAGCTTAAGGCGTGCCTTTTAGCTACTGCTGCAAACATAACTGAAATGATGCGGAAAATTGTATTTAACTTTTGTGGCGAAATAACTTCTTATTCAGCTGTGTTGACAGAGGAATATTTATCAGGTGGAGAAAACTTTGCCCATTGCCACAAATGTTAAAAATCGAATTTGCGTCTGGTTTCCATATGCATAAGTTTGTACACATTTACTCTTAAGCATCAGATATACTAATTTGTATACAAAGTTATTTTCATTATAAGTCTCGTTTTTAGTCTTTAAGCATTTAGTAACGAGTCGCACTCTATAGTTTCCCATACAAAATACTTTTCTTTAAATAGCCCAAGAATATCCCGAAGGCTGTCGTCGGCTTTGGGATGCCCCTGAACATGAAAATGAAAACAATTTGCCAGGCAAAAGCAATAAAGATGCCGCTTTCAAGGGGCTACAAACGTCTGATCATCTGCACGTGGCTGTATATGTGTATGTGTGTGGGTATTATGTTCTCTGTGTGCACATGTGCCTCTCATTGGCGCTTTATTGTGATGTGCACACGACTGTTTATCTCGTATCCTTTACTCCTTGCGCCTTCATCGCTCGTCTTTATTCTCAGCCTTATTTGTTTAGCCTGGCATTTTATTTTTACTGTTTATAAGCTGACAAAATTGTTTTGCTGCTCTTTATATTTGCAGCCTCGTTTACGCTGTCGTCGTTAAATGATTTTCTTGTTACTTTATGTTAACGGCCACACTGTGGCTACGTAATAAAAGGGGCTGCAACAAATAATTGGCCCGAGCTACTAGCCAAATTCGGACCCGACTGCTTGTCGTACGCGTTGCTCATACATCGTGTGAGCTACCCACTTAAGAGAGATTGTTTGCGCTTTTCGGTTCTTTCTTTTTGTTTTTCTGTGGCCAGCTTCAAAGCGGAATCAAATCAGCTGCGCCCACACACAGGCACACACGTATATTGGAGAAAAAACATTCGGTTTTGGCTTTGCATTGATAACCACTGGAAGCGTTTTTCAATTTCATGCACTTGACTGCGGCCGCTGGGCACTCGTCAAAAAAGCAAATCCCCGCTTGCTGCCCACCAAATCCTGGCCAATGGACATTTCCTCATCGCTGCTCACATTGCGTAAGCAAATGCGAATCTCCTACAGAATTCCAGTCTGTCCAAATTGGACGTTATGTATGTACATTTTTCGGCTTTCGTCTCGCGCTTCGCTGGTTTTAGAAAATACCTTCAAAAATACAGAAACAAATGAAATAACGATTTCTTTCTCCTTTTTTGTTTTTTGTAAAAACTGTGTCAAATGCTTTCGTTCGGTTTTGCCTGGTAGGCAGGCCCCTGGGCTTCTGTCATATAACATTAGTTTTAGTTTTTCTCCCACACAAATTTCGGTAAAAAAAAAAATAAAAAAAAAAATATTTACTCTAAAAAAAAGAAAGCCAAGAAAAAATGGCTAACTCTGGCACGCCCAGGGCAGCTTCAACTGATGCAAACGCCTTGGAGCTGCAGCAGCTGATTTCACGCAGCTACAAATCGATGAACAAACTGGTTCACTTCTACAATGGTCAGCTGCACGAGGAGCTGAGCACGCTGATGAGCTCCATTCAGGAGGAGCAGCTCCCAGGACGCAGCATCAGTGAACATAGCTCGCAGCTAACTGAGGCACTCGATTTAAAGTGGTAAGCCCCGACTAAGCTTGTTAGTCACAAATTAATTGCCATTTTCTCATATTAACGACGGCGTATCTACAGTTTAGCTGGCTTTAATAGGCTAAGCCACTACCTGATGATGCGGCCCAGTTGCAGCAGTCTCGATTTGCATGGCACCCCCGAATTCAGGCAACTCTAGGTAAAACAAAATTTATTCATAGAACTGATTTTCGGTTCACAAAAAATTCCCAAGAAATGGCATTAAAGCGCATTGCAGCACACAACGAATTCTAGCACATTTACTGACGCTTGTTGTTCATTTTATAAACGAGTTTTCCATATGAGTAAATCATTTTAATATAATAGAATCTCATTAATTTATGCGAATAATAAACTCTGTTCTAAATGTTTGGGCGATAAACATTTTTCTTTAACCAATAGAACTAAATAAGTTATTATTTCAGTCGACAGCAACCATACTTGAATGAGGCATGATAAATATTTAAGTATACATTAACATATTAACATAAAAACATACTCCGAATATGGAAAGATGAACCAATTGAGATACATTGAAGGATAATAGATAAAATACATTTTCAGTTGTGAATATATTTCTTATTTCCCAGCTTAAATTCATTTTTCTATTTTTATATAGATACTGAATATGATTTGCTGGCTGACCGTATTATAATTTAAATATATATTTAGTTAGTCTAATAAGCATATGAGCTGCGTTTTAGCTGCATCTAGCCATAGGAGCATCATCCATTCTACGAACTTAATTAACTGGTGGCTGGGCGCTTCCAGACGTAAGGTGAGCCTATAGGGCAGACATTTTTATGGCGCATTGTTAACGCGCATTGCATGAGCCGCAGAGCAAACTGGCACACACACATAGACAAAAGGAACAGCAGCAACAACGGCTAGGAGCCGACTGGCAATACAATTTGCTGTGACAAATGCGGCCATAAACAAAAATGGCGACGCCGCCATTTTCTAGTGCAGCGACAAAATGGCTGCCAGCTAAAGTGCCAGGCGTTGGGCGAGAATTTCATTTGGACGACCTTTTATGGAATTTATCACACGCGACCCTCGTCTCTGACAGCGGATTTCGAGTGCAGTTGGCTCGCCAATTCGCTTTGGCCCCAGCCAGCCTTTGGTAATGAAATTTCGCTTTGGCAATTACGTGTACCCCAGGCAATTTGAGATGTCGTTGGGTTACGGCCACTAAGCGCTGAGCATATGTTTAGGGTAGTTAGAAGTACGCTAATAGCTCGAGTGGCCGCTGCACAAATTGTGGGCTAAGTAAGTGCCGGCAATCCAACTCACAACCCACAGCCTTGGCCCAAGCCCCAAATCAATTTTATTGAACGCTAGCGACAAGCGAGAAACAAGGCACCACAAATTCATGAAAAACTTGGATGCAAGTGTAAAAACAAGATGAAGAATGTGTGTATTGAATATACCCTGACAAAAACATATGATTGCAAATATTTGGATATGAATAAAACTATATTTATTCAAAAAATTTAATATACATTAAATATATATATATAAATATACATATATAAATATACATTAAATAATTCATATTATTTGGACTATTCGTAATGTATAAAATTTGATTTGGAAATAAACATAAATTTATATGTTTCTTATGATTGGAAAAAATCAACTTAACTGTGTCTTAATACAGTCATATTGCTCTCTCCTAGAGTATTCAAGTATATTTTGCAAAAATATTTTCATGGCTCGCAGCTAAAATGTTATTAAAGTCAATAACATAAAGAAGAAAACAATATTTTTTATGTGGATGGTTGCTGAGCCGAGGCCAAAACAACTTTGCCAAATAAATATAAAAATAGCTTACAAATAATAGCAAGTCGATAACAAAAAAACCATTGGCTAATGTCGAAGTCATAAAAAATAAAAAAAAATGACTTGTAAATAAAAATTTATATATTTACATAAATTAAGCAATGAATTGAAATAGGAACGAGATCTACTTAGATGACAGTTAGTAAAAAGTATTTGAGCAAGTTGGCATCACCAATTGCTGTTGCTTGTATACAGAAATCGACTTTTGCGTTGATTTGGCAGCTCCAATGTTGAGCTGACGTCTTATAAAATTAGAAGGGATCACTTGAGTTTAATTTCAAAAGTACAAACATGAAAATTAAAAAGGAAATCGACTCAGAAGATGCAAATGGCGAAGCCGCCCGTCCTGCCCAGCTGCGTGGTAAGCCCGAAAACTATTGGGAACTCTGCCAAGCGCTCGAGTCACACGATGATACTGATTTCGATGATTTTGAAAGTGAGATGCAGTCCATAGCGCTAGCGCCCAGTAGTCTGGGTCCGGAAAATGGAGTGGAGCATAAAGTAATGGTGGCCACCAAGGCAATTGACCGCGAGCGCCAGAATCGAACGCATGCGGAGTTGCTGATGGGGGAGAAGGAGTTGCCGGGTGCTCTGCGCACGCTGGCACGAGTCTACGACTTCCAGAACTGCCGGTTACTAGACAAGCCTCGGGAGGCGGCTGTGAAGCCGTTGTGCGTCATGAGCAAGATGCAGCCACCAAGACTGCGTGAGGTGCCTGTTGTACCGCCGGAGCTCGAAACGATTGTCGTGGACCAGTCACAGCCGCAACAGCAACCACCGGTACAGAAGCAATATCAGCAGCAGCCACAGCAGCATCAGCCGCAACAAGCACTGCGACCTACAGCTCCTCAGCTAACGCATCCTTTCCAGCCTTCACCTCATTTACATGCTCATCCACATCCTCAACTTCTTCCGCAATCTTTCCCACAATATCCTCCTCCTCAACTACTTTCCTTCAATCCTCCCCATTATCCTCCCCCTCATTTTAATCATCCACTTCATCATAATCATCCTCCTCAACCGTTCGTCCCTCCTCCACTCCCTTGTCATCCATCGAGATTGCTGGAACCTCACCGCTTTGGCCAGGAGCTGCATTCCAGATTCATTCCAGCCCATAACAACGAACATGTCTTTCAGAACCCAATCCGATTTCATAGCAGACCTCCGTCAAGACATCGACAGCCTCAGTACGTTCCACCTCCTCGCCAGCCACCGCACCGTCAACCGCTATATGCGCCGCCTCAACGCCAGACGACGCACACGCCAATTCCGAGCGGTTCACGTCCGACGCGCAAGCCTATTATTGTGGTTCCTGATGAATTCACAAGTTTGGTTACTCTGCACAATGTGCAGCCGCTGCTGCAGGAGCAACGCTTCGTGCCGCCGGCTATAATGAGGCGCTCGGATCTACGGCTGCTGGAGGAGGTCAGCATAGTGCGCAACTTCCGAGGCGAACAGCAGCACTATCGAGTTATCGACAATGTCGCGAGATTAACAACGGAAGATTGGGATCAGGTTGTGGCCGTATTCGTCTTTAATCCCCATCAACAGTTCATTGGCTGGCCCAATCACGGCGACCCCGCTGTCATCTGTCGTCAGCTGTGTGCTTTTCACTTGCACTACAAGGGAAAAGCCATTTATCGGGAACTGGAATCCCTGTGGCTCAATATACTTAGTATACCAGAGGATGACCGCAGTCTGGACGGCGATATTCTGATAGAATTTTGGCGCAAGCTGGATCAGCACATGGCCAACAAAGATCGACCCATAGGCTTTGCCCGTCAAAGCTAGTCGAACTGAAAATGAAGCACACTTAACACACTTCGTCCTATAATACATAAAGATATAAAATCAATAAATGAAATTGAATAAACAGCCCCTCTGTTGAGTAGCAAAGACAAAAGCAAGTAGACAGCTACACCCAGGCACATATATATACACATAACATATACAGATACATATTGATATGTATATGTACATGAGGGGTGATTGGGTGGGTGTGGGCGGTTTATCTTGATGTTAACGCCGATAATAAAAAGTGTAGCAGCAGTGACGGCGCATCAGAAAAATATATCACGTAAGTATAAAAATCATATAAAAACGTTGCGAAACTGCAAAGTTGGCGAAAAAATTAAGAGCACAAACAAGTCGTTGGTAGCGGGCAAGGAGAGGGCCTAAGAGGCGGCGGGGTAGCGGGGAAGTGCTCTGATAAGATAAGCAGGGTTGGAGTGAAATGAAACGCACGCGTGAGACAACGGTTAAATGGCACACAACGGAGCAGTTGTCTTATATATGAGAATAAGCCTGCGTGTGTGTTTATATACTTATATAAGTCACTGTGGGCGTCCCATAGCACAGTGGGCAAATAGAGAGTACCATGTGTGGGTGTGTTGATAATAGAGCTTAACACGTCGCATAGAAATCACTGATAAAATGAAACTTTTATATTGAAAAAGTGCGTGGTCAGTTTCAGACTATAGTTGCTAGATGAATCGCTATATGCGAGTGCACAAGTGGAATGTATGGACGATATATAGTGCAGCTGTTCCAGCTTTTATCGTTATGTATGTTGGACAGTAAGCCGATTAACTCAAGGAATCTAAATGTTAAATACTAAAGATATAATACATAAATATTTTTATTGGAATGCAGATTTCTGTTACGCTAACCAACGCGCTTCACTTTAAAAAGTAATTTAAAGATCAACTACAGCTAATGTGCTTCAATTAAACGCAGTCTAAAATATTTTCCTTTTCGGCCCACTGTACAAAGTGCCCTATGAGCAGTAGCTAGTTAGTGAGGAGCAACAGCCAGTTACTGCTGCTTGGCAATCGACTTCTTTTCTAACAGATAATTCGATGACTTACGCAACGTGTGTGAGACAAAGGCAGGTTATGCGTGTGTAGGTGGTGCGAGTGCCGGGTGTTTGCTGGTGGGCTGCGGATATGTGCATGTGTGTGTGAATGTGTGTAAATCGAGTTTGTCGCCAATATTCAATTTTGTAAATTGAAGCAAAGTAGTAATAAAAAGTAAAGTGAAATCGAATTCGTGCCAGCTAAGATAAAAATGTAAGCACATGAGAAAGAGAGTGAAAAGTACACGGTAAAAAACTAAAAGAAAAAAAATAAAATAAGATGTAAGGTTCTATTAACCCACAAGAAATTGAATAAAGCAGCGAAGACAGCGGTGCAGTCTTTCTCTTTCAAGAAAAAGATTTTTCAAACGAATTGCAATTTCACAGCCAAGGCTAATCGACATTGGCCAGCCATCGATTGACTATAAGTGTGAGATATTCTTTTTAGCTTATAGCTTAATTTATGTGCCAGGCAATGTATCCTGCAGCAAAACAAGAAGAAGCACAGGAAAGCACAGCTAAATTCTCCAATGGTGTTCACATAAATTTTGGGTGAAAATTTGCATTTTCAGCGTTTGGCCAGAAGTGAAACGAACGAATATGAAGAAAAACAAGTGCAAATGCGCTTCGCATTACAATTGGGGATTGTGGCCGAGGCTAATGCCACGTCACGCCCACTTAACGCCCACAGCGGCCAACAAATGGCACATAATTCAATGCTCGATGGCAGCTTTTTGTGTGGCTCTTTGATTTGCTCCTTTATGTTCCAGTTTAAGATACATATATACACTTTTTCATTCTCATTTTATGGCTTGAGCAACGCCCGCTCATTGGTGGGCGTGGCACGTCGTCAGGGCCATTTGTGAGTAAAGCGCGTAAATAAAATGGCACATGAAAATACGAGAGCGCATTTCCATTAAAAATTGCGACTGCAATCGGATTGTGGAGCCAGTTATGGAGTAAGTCTGGCCAGAGAAATTTACTATTCACATTGACATTTAAGTCCACAGAGAAAGAAAGACGTTGTGAAAAATAAAGCAGTAATCGGAAAGGCAATATTATAGCCCCATATTTTCTACTTCCTCAATATTTTGTTATTTCTCTTATTTATTGACTTGTTTAACATTAAAAGAAAAGAGTATTTTCAAGATGAGAAGTAAATTGCATAGTCAGATAAAACTATAAAATATTGTTTTATTTTATACAGAACTTTTCTGATGTATTATTATAATTTAAATAAATAATTGTAAATTGTAGATTTATTTTTTTTAAGTAACGATAAATTTGATCGAATTAAAAAGTTTTCTCACCTTAACTTTAACTTAATAGTGTTTTACTCATACTTCAAGAGCGAAACTCAAATTGAATTGATATCGTTGGCTGGTATTACTTGTGACTTAACACTGATTATACACGCTTCAAGACATTTTCGCACTTACTTATACGATAACGCATACAGATACTCATACATAGATGTGTGTGCGACTGTGTGTGTGCACTTACTTACTTATGCCAAGCGAAACTTTTACTTTATACCCAAGCGAGAGCTCAGAACCGGCAACCGAGAAGCGAGAAGCACTTTTATCTACCATAAATCCCCATGCTTCGAAAACTTTAAAAAAGTGTGGCTAAAGTTTGTAGCCCGTATCAAAAATAAAACGAAGAAAAAACCCAAAACAACATCAAATTGTTAAGAGGATGACAGAAACCTGTGAGGAATTGCGAGTCTAAGGCGGTCTCACCCGAGCACAATCTCAGCTATCTACCAGCTGCTCTTGTTGCAATTGTATTCAAAAAAAACTTAAAGTGCGCGACATAAATCGAACAATCAAACCAAGCAGAAAAATCAGGTGTATTCAGTTTATCGAAGCATATATCACATCTTGTATAGAGAGTCTTTATGGTTAACTAGTTGTACAAACAGTGATTTGATTTATAGTTGAATTTATTTAAATATGCAATCAGATCCAAAAGTATTAATAAGAAATGCCTTTAACAATGGGATTTATTTTTGAATTTTGGTTAAGTTCTCTGTTAGTGAGTTAATGCCAACTCATATTTATTCATTGCTTTATAGTTAGAACAAAAGCTACTTTTCTAGTTGTAATTCCATCAGTCAAAAAACTCAGACCATATTAGATACAAACATGCGCGTCCACACACACACACACACCTGTACATATATGATGGTAATTCTAAGCTAAAAGCACTGCACGGACAGCGACAGTATCGGCGACACTTTGATGACTACAGCAAGGGAAGCCAGCCGAACCACACGTACAACCGCAATAAGCAGTGCAGCATTTGCTGGCCACCATTTGGTGGGCTTTGTTCTGTTTTGTTTGGCTTGTTTTGGCCAACGCCTGCCAATTGTTGGCCATTGATTGCGACTGAGCATTGAACGCATTCACATTCATATTGACAAAAGGGTGGGGTTGGGCTGTTGTGCATGACTGTGGATTATGCATTGAAACTGAGCAAAAGGCACTCGACATATGGCCAGATTTTTGAATGCGTGTTTACAGCGTAATACAATTATCGCTGGAAAGCTAAAAATACTCTCTGCAAATGAATAAAAACTTTGCGTAAATCCAGTGCAAACAGCCAGAGCCAGAGCAACAGAAACAACAACAACTCGAGCTCTTAATTGCAGTTCGCCAATGGGTTTTACTTATAAACAAGACCGGCCTATCGTTAACGAGCTGCCAAACAAACAGGGATCCCATTTACTTTACAAGTGCAACTACGTTGTGAGTGCAACCTGTGGCACTCTCACGGCAATACACACACAAACACACACTCATACACACATATTGTACTGCGAGTGTGTGTTCTGGTCAGCTTGGCAACTTTTCAACTTGCGCCAATCAAACAAGTTCAATAACGGTAATTAACAGTGCAACGGTCAGCACACGGATGCTTCAAATGCAACTCGAACTCGAAAACGACGCCGTAATTTGTGAAAAGTTCAAAGCTATTAGCATGTCCCCACAGTGCCCCACTGCAAACCCCTGTTGGGACCGTGCTTTGATCGCTTGCCTGTCCGTTTCCGTGTTGTCGTCGCTTGCAGCAACGGAAGTATTTGAGTTCTTCTTGCACCACCCGCCTAATGATGGCAATTGCCCTACCACGGTCAGTTATAGGCCATTAGCACGGCGGCCAGTGGGGAGGCTAAAAGCGCGGCATTTTTCGTACTGGGCCTGTTCTGTTAGCCATTTGGCCACTTGGCACTCGGCATGTCAGTTTTGATTGAACCTGATGGACGCGCCTAATGTGGTTTAATTGTGAATGATGTGCAGAGGTCACAGCGGATGCCTCTAATGGTTATTAATGTGCACTAATAACTAAGCCCGTCGGCCAGACAGACAAATGGATAGATGGACAAACAGATAGACAAGCAAGTGCAACTAAATGACAGCAGCGTTCAGTTCATTAATGTCATGTTTGGTGCAAAAGAAATTAAACTCAATTCCTGAGTTCTATTTAGACTCGTTACACAGTTTCGCTTTATTTACTAGAAACTTTGATTTACTTTATGCGTCAGTTAAGGTATATTCATTTTCTGGAAAAAAGTACACATTTTTAGTCGTGATTCATGGAAATGTTATGCATGCAGCAGTTTTATACATATTTGCAGACTTTGCCTCTAATAAACAGAGCTATGCACAAATGCAGTTTGTTTGCAGTTGTTGCAATCTGTTAGCGGATCTATCAATTTGTAGCATTTTCAAGCTCATATAAGCCACACACATGAGTACACATACGTACACAGACACGCACACTCACTTGAATACTCACACTTCAATCCGACAGTAGGAACTACAGCCGCAGCAATAGAGAACACGCAACCTGACGGGCCGGATGCTTGGCAACTAACCCAGGGCGGTCAGAAAAGGGGCTGGCCATGCTGAGGATGGGTGAATTATATGGGAGGGGCATGGTCTTGCATCCGATTCACTTTATTCTTTCTTCGTTGAGGCGGCCACTTTGGTAACAGAACTTGAACATGAGTGCAATCAAATGTATTACATTTTGTGCAACTTAAGCGGTGACTGAAGTGCCGAAGACAGCTGCAGAAGAGCAAGATAGGGAAGGATGAAACAGAGAGGGAAATGGCAAGAGAGAGAGGGGGAGATCTGAATGAGAGCGAGTGTGCTAGCTAGAGCGAGTCATGGATATATCCGACTTTGGGTGCAATGATTTCCTGGAAAACTCAAGTCAAGGCTGCGGCTGCAAAAACTAAGCAGATGAAGAGCCTGCCTTTACCACGCCCCATTTCCAGCCCACATATAAACACACACATACACACACGCATAGCTACAGCGGTAAGTATGCAGCAGCATGTGGCACAAAAAAATGGGCCAACGGCAAACAACTCGGATAAAGGAAATTGCTAGAAATGCATTTTGTGGCTTATGAGCCATGAAGCAACAACCCAAAATCCAAGATCTACTCTGCCGCTTGCACCTTGAGCTACATGGAAAGCGGCGTATTGCCATGTCTGACAAATCAATTGAGTTTGCTCGACAAATATCCGCTCGAATGCCAGCCGACAGGCAAATGAATGCAGTGCAGTGGCTTATTTGAATAAATAACAGACACTCGATACTCATTGTAGCTGAATTTGTCACTCGGCTAAAGCGGCAATTAAATGTGACTGCATCAACATTAACTCAGGACAAAGGATTTTTAACTATGACAAATTTGCAGTGTTTGCTCAATTGGCTATAATGTCTTGATGAATGATTGAACAATAGAAAGAATGAGAAAGGCAAAGAGAGAGACAGGCTGAGAGACAGACGAACAGTTGGACGAGAGTAAAGGCAGATGACATGCTATGATATGGTTATCCAACAATTTAAACAGTGATCCAGTGTCGGCAACTAGTTAATCAATAGGAGGGACACTCAACTCAATTACTACACTGAAAGAAAAGTCACAAATTTCACAAAACTTACTAAGCTTGTCTAGTAACAAAAAGAGAATTTACTAGTAGAATATGGGTTGCTCTAGTCAAACTTTGAAATATTTAAAAAAAACATACTTTCATTATGACTCCCAAATTTTTCTCTGTGTACGATAGCTTGTCATTGTCCTTGGCGTTTGTCAAACAAAGCAAAAACTTGCTAAATTCCCTGGCCAAACAAGTGAAGTATAAAAAAAATTTAAGAAAGACAGAATAAATGACAAGGAGAGAAAGAGAGAGAGAGAGACCGACAAAGCGTGAGGGCCAGATAGAGAGAGGGTAGAAACGAAAAGGAGTAAGTAAAGAACTTTATACCTAAAAGGGATTTATTTGATGACTTGTCTAACTCGTGCCATTGACTCATACGATGACACTGCCATGACTGAACCCCATCCCTCTACTTGCCCTCTGTTGACTGTCCCGCTATGACGCAGCACTTTTGCAAATGAAGTTTTATAACTTTGCCCGTCGATTTGGAAGTCAGTGAAACAGTTGGGAGTGTGAGTGAGCTGCAGGGTTGTAAAATGCGACAAAATGGAACGAAATTAAATGCATTTTGAAAAATGATAAAGTTGTTGCCGACGTGGCCGACAGACATAGCATTTAAAAAAGTGTCTAGAAATGCAGAAGCAGTAGGCAAAAAAAGCAGATATAAAGTAATTGTCATAGTGAAGGTACTCCATTGAGCCATACATATACTTTAACTTTTTACCTCTGAACGGCACTTCCCACCTACCATTCAAGTGCGACATTTGCAATGCATATACAACGGCATTGTACTTACCTGAAAGAGAAATAAGACATTTATAATTAGAATAGAAGAAGTAAAGAATTTCTTTGTGACTCTTATAAGTGTAAGCTTAATTTTTTATTATAATTTTAATATTTCTGTAGACTACTTATAGTAAATGCTTGAAAATTAATGATGTAGAAATTAATATTATTAAAAATGTACTATATTAAAAACTCTTTTTATGTAACTTGTAAAATCTTAAATTATAAGCATGATTTTTGTATAAAAATAAATTATTTGCTTTCTTTTATAGTGCCTAAATACGCAATGGCAGGTTGCGGCTAACTATTGCTATAATTATCTTTTTGTTCACTGTTGATATTTATGTTGAAATTCATGATTTTAATTAAAAATGTAATTTAATAATTTTTCCGGAAGAGCGAACGTAATGAGACAATGCGACAACGTATAAAACAAGACAGCAACAACGACAAGGACAATAACAACAACCATAGCAATTAGCAAAATTCGAGCAGTTAGCAACACAGCGGCACAGACACACACAAACACGCATAAGCACATGCACTTGCACACACGTGTTAATAAGTGTAGTGTCGTGTCATTGTTGTTGCTGACGCAAGTTGTTGTAGTGGCTGCTGCTGCCACTTTAGCCACTGACTTGTCCAATTACTACAACAACAGTGCAGTACAAGCGGCATTCAAATGGTGCGCCGCAGGCCACGCACACACACAAGTATATATACGCACACACACACACCACGCAGAGATGCACGAGTCCGAGGCAGCAACGGAAGCGCCAACTACAAAGTTTTTTCATATCCTGTGAAAATTATTATACGCTTTTCACAAAATAGTTGCAGCCAGTGGCAAATGCGCACGCATATCTACACACACTTTGGTGCTGCTACTGCTGCACTTTTGACCAGGACGAGCAGGGAACACACATGTGCAGCACCACAAAATGGCAGACTGGCGACAAGGACTCGAACGAGTCGGGTTCTTCGACGGTCGAGCGTATTCTGAACTTCCTTTCCGACTCGACTCTGCTTGGTGTTGGGAAAAAGTTTTGTCAAATTGTTTTTGTTGCAACAGCTTGTGGGCAGCGTCAGCATCAGTTTTAATCATTTGCTGCAACTGTTGCAGCCGCTCTGCAACTCTTGTCCATTCTGCTCGCACTGCACGCAAGTGTTTGTCATATTTGCGTTAATAAAATAAATAACTCGAAATTGAAAGCAGTCAAAGCCATAGCTAGTAATGCTGGACTCGAAAACCACTTAAAGTTTCCAAGTGGCTGCACTAGATGAAAATCTTTGGCTAAGCTTCAGTCGGGTTTTAGGATTTGTAAGCTGATCTTTATTTTTTTCATTAAGAGTATATATATCATGAAAATTAATTATAGATTGTTGTAAAACATATCAAAACTTGAAATGTTTTACCATGTTTTGTAATATTTTCTATATAAAAAAATTATTTTAGCATGAATTTTTATAGTTCTTACTTACTTAAACTTTATAAACTTCAACTTTGTAAAATTGGTGCTAAAATAGTTTCATACATTTCTTGGCTTACATATAAGTCACAGCTAGTCAGTTGTTGGTTTTACTTCCTTTTATGTGCTGTGCCACATAACGTTTACTCAATGCTTGTGAGCGCATTGGGTGCAGCTTTAACTCTGGGTTTTATGTCGTAAAGCATCTTTTGCTAAAGCATAACTCGCGGCGACTCGTCGCTCAAAGGCAACAGCAACTGCAACAGCAAAAAATGCTCGCTGATACATTTTTCGCCTTGCAACACGGAAAAAGGCAGCCAAAGTAGAAAAAAGGCAACACTTGGCCGACTGTGGATCCTTGCTTTCATAGAATTTTGCCCAGACACGTAGTCGCCGCCTTACTCTGTAGTCTGCAGTTGAGCGCCTTTCGCCTTTTGCGACTTTGCCTTGGCGCGTCTCATCGCGGCGCATATAACTCACGCTTTTCAGCGCCAAAGTGCACTCAGCGCAGAGCACCTGCCACGCCCACAGAGCGTAACCAGCATTGAGTATATGCCACGCTTAAGCCAATAATAAATTTCTGCAACAATTTTGTGCCAAAGCTGCAGTTTGTCAGCATTAGCCAAGGCAACGGCTCCAGTTGTCGCTCCTTCTACTCCTACTGCTACAGTTGCCAGTGTTGCCACATAGCCAATTTCTGACTCGATCGAAGTGGTTGCAGCAGCCCTTAAGAACCAAAAGCTGCCAAATTGTGCCACGAGGCATTTCAACGCACACACGCAACTGTATTATAATTAACTAAAATTTAATGTTAACTCAATTTTGACAAGGCACGAAAGCAAATATTGAGATAAAAGACGACTCAAAGGACTTAAAGCAGAGTAGCTGGGCGTAAACTTTCAACTTATATAGTCCTGGCTGAGGGATGAACACGGGAGGGGTTGCTGTCTGTCCGCCTGACAAAAGTTACAGTAGTTAGAACGTGGCATGTTAAGTTCTAGCAACTTTTGCAATCTTTAACAAAATGCGAAATGTTACAAATCTTTGCCAGAGCTCTCAAGAAGAAACATAGTGACAGGGAAAATAAAGAGATAGAATGAAGGGAAGTCGTAGTCGTATGAGAGCGAGCCTGAGTAGATAAAACCCTTTCACATTTGCCATGGAGAACTTAATTAATGCAATCATAGTAAAATGCTTGACAAAATAAGTTTTGACAGCAACAAGAAGCAAAAGCGAAAAGCACAGGAATGAAAAGCAAGAGGCAGCGGCATGTAAGATTGTCAGATATGCATTACTATTAATTTGAATTTAAGTTTAAAGCTTGAGACAAAAGCGGAAGTACAAAAAGAGCATTATTTAGAAATAATCCGAATAAAAGGAATGTAAATATTTCTTGTTTATAATTAAATTTGCAACAAATTTGTAAGAGATACCTGCATACCAAGATGAATTTGATTAAACTCATGTATAAAAACACTTGCAAGAGCAAACTCCACAGAGCAATATATATATATATATGTATAAATATACATTGATATTGTCTAACTTCTTTATATACTTTAATTTAATAAAAATTTTGTTTGTGTCCCGTTTATTTATTTTGATTTAATTTTTACGAGCTTTAACTACTCTTTTCTTCCATAGATTTTCCGTGAATTTCCATGATTTAAGTCAGACTGCCTTAACCTTGCCAGAGTACCCACGCATGTTAATTAGTAAGTGAAAAGTAAAAACGAGTTGAAGGTTACGCAAACAGCACCCATTGCCGAGTTCTAAAACTGATTTCATTAGCATGTATACCCAAGGACTGACAACGTGCCTCTCGGCAATTTCATTTGAACTTTCCACAACCAACACGTTCTCATCGCTTTACACGCTTTCTCATTTCCATACTCATGCCCACGCAACGAAATGTGCGTTAATTTCACAAAGGCTGCTTCAAATAATATAGGATTATATAATATATAAATACATATTTGAATGTTTTACCTTCAAAATTGGCCCGTAGATGAGCATGTCACAAGTTTTAAGGTCACACGTTGCTTAATTATCGTCAACGTATAATTACAGAGTTTTTGTGGACTGTGGAGCATAGTGTCAAATCTAATCCTGACAACACAAATATCAGATATTAATTACTCGCTCACACACCCACCCAAGCAGACAGGCAGACTGGTTGTTGTTTGTCTTGACGCTGGTTAAATACAATTTTGACATTGCCTGCCAAAGACAAATTATCATAACGACTCCTGTTCCGGCCGTCCCTATGTCCTGTTGCCAGAGTCCTTGTCGCTGCTTGTACAACTGTTTGCCTTGACGAGTGTCAAATTAATTGACAGTTGCGTGGCTTTCCATTGTCCGCCCACGCGCCACTAAACGGGCAACAGCCGCAGCAAGGATCAACTTGCCCCGCTTCCAAGCTTAGCTGACGTCCTGGCATGTAATGTTTCGGGCAGGGCAGGGCCCCGTTTATATTGCAGTCGAAGGATTTGCGCATAAACATAAACACAGCAATGGGCACGTTTCCATATTTGTGCGTGGGTGTGAGTTGTGTAGCAGCAGTATGTGAAAGGACATAATATTTGCTGCATTAATTAATGCGCACACACACACGCACACACCCAGAATGACGAGCAAACAGGCGGATAGATATAGAGGGCGAAGGAGCCGGCTTTAGGACCTTGTCGCTTGTAAATAAGCGATTTAATGAGCTCAAATGTGTTGAATGACTTGATTTTTGTGCTTCCCGGCATGTCTGCATGTCATTCGTGTCATAAGAATCTCAAGAGGTATATTAAAGCATAATTATGAAGGAAAAGCGTTTGACAAAATCTAGAATAATACATGTTTCTGGTCAACTAATGCGCATTTCACGCCCCTTTATGTTAATCAATCAATTTATTTAATAGTTGTGAGTATTAGAAGGTGCTTGTAACTAAAAAAAGTGAACATTGAATATTTGATACGATAATCTGCCTCCGATATGTGTTCTAACTTGGTTCCACGTGAATTCCCTATTCTTATGTTACTTCAAACACGTCTCAATCAATATTAACTGAGATATTTGTTAAGGTTTTTTTTGCGCTTAGGTCAAGTGGTGAGCGCAGCCCAAGCTTTGCATTTGGCAATCAACAAAATTGATTAGAGTCGAAGCGGCAAATGGTGGCCAGAGGCAGACCAGTACGCTAGGATTTTGTAAAGGTCCAATGGATATGAGTGCAGCCAATTGGCAAAATGGCCACTCCCATTGGCTACTCGTCCTCTGCATCACCCACTTCCTTGCTGGTACAGCAAAACAAAAAAAAAAACGGAACGAAAGGGGGATAAAAACAAATGCAGCAGGCAAAATAGACTCAACCAAACCGAAACCAAAGCCAAAACCAAAACTATGCAACTCAATTGTAGGGGAGTGAGCGTGGGCGCAAGCCCTTGCTTAGTTCTGTGGCCCAGGACTGAAACTATTTTTTGGTTTATTTTCTAGACAACGCCCGCTGAGAGTCCAGCACATCATCAATATGAAACAGGGGACATGCATAATCGGGCGGATGGCTCCCAGTGCGATGCATTTATGCGTTCGCTCGCTCCTCGTAGTAGGAAATCCCGTCCAGACAGGAATTTCAAAATTCTGGCATGCGAATGCGTCGGTTGCTGATCTGTGCGGCCAGTAACGAGTGGGTGTGCCGTTTGCTAAGTGGGCTGGAGTTGTATGGAGCTGGTTCACTTGGCGAGTCTATTGCCAGTTACTGGCTATTTCTGTTGTTTCGGTTAGTTATCGGCGGCTGCCAAAATACAAAATAATAAAATGCGACGGCCGGGCAGCTCTCAGCGCTGAGATAATAAAAAATAGATTAGTTTGTGGCAAAAAGAAGTATCCTGGCTTTGAAGTGAGAAACAATCCAGACACTGGCTTCATGAACCCCAAACAGCCAGAACCCTATGCATTGCCAATGGAATAAATTGAGAGTATGGAAATGATAGACCTAATGGAAAAAAACAGAAAACTATATTTAAAAATTTAAGACATTTTTCAACTTTATTTTTACATCAAAATTTAACTAAAAGGCTCTATTCGTAGTGTCCAATTAGGAGACACACTTAACCCCGTCCAATCTGCTATTTTTTATATTTTCCATAACTTTCATCATTCAAAGGGATACAAATAAAAACCGACATCATCGAAAGAACATCGCCTACACAGCGCGCATCAACTCTACCAAATTAATAAATAATTCTTGAAGGTCATTCAATATAAGTATAAATATAATAAATATAGGCATAAATATTAATATATTAATTATTTTAAATTGATTTTCGACTTTTTATTATTTTTTAAAAATGATTTTAGACATTCCTTCTAGTTTTAAAGAGAGAAAATTGTCACAAATACTACTTCCCCCAGCACAAGCACTTCTCAAAGTCAATAAAAATGCAATCAAATGCCGCAGAATGTTTCTCTCTATTATTTGTGCTTATATTACACTATTACAATTTTGTATTTTTTTGTTATTATTGTCTTATTTAATTTAATTACATGCCACAATGCTTTGGCCTCTTTCATAATTTATAGTCTTAATTTGCAACAAATTTTTACTAATTTCCATTGTTTATATTTGTCAGCGTTTTCTCATATTTATTTTACTTTTTGTTGATGTTGTTTTTGTTGCTCACTATTTATGCGTGTTTAATTGCAACTCATTAAGCATATTAATTAAATCACCACAGTTATACATTAAAATCGTGTGGAAGGGAGCGGGAGCTAAGGGTTGACGCTGGCTGCCAGGACTGTCGTGCTTTTCAATTCAAGCGTCAAGAATATATTCACGCAAATAGCGCCAGCAAATTAACATGAAAAACTGAAAAAACATTTTTCGCAAAGCAAAAATAATTATGTATATATGTAAGCATGTATGTAGCGCGATTTTTTGTGTTTAAATTTGCATAGAGAATGGAAAATGGAAAAATAAAATTTAAATAGCTGCGAAAAATACCATTTATATTGGCAATATAGTTATACATAATGGGATTTACTTTTGATCCGCGACGCTGGCAGATCGAAATGTGGGGGATTATGTGACATTTGGCCAGTTGGCATAATTTACTTAAAATATTACACCAAAAATTACAAGCTGATTAAAAAATGCATAAATATGATTAACACAAAAACTGCCAGCGTGAATAAAACACAATATACGTGCGAATTAATAAGCTGAAATAAATACAAAAAAAAGAACATTTAAGAGAAACAACAACAGAAATTAAATAATATAAGCGGAAAGCCAACGGACTGCAATGGAAATTAATTTGCATATCGCTGAAAAATATTTGCGAAGCAAATAATAATTTATAAATTACGCATTGCTAATTGATTTAAAAATTGCGATAATGAAAAACCTTCGCATAGGTATGGGCGAGCTTTGTTTGCATTTTCAATTTTGCAACAATAGATTGACATAGATTTCATGATGAACTATGCTACACTGAGAAGAGCACCCCTAGGCAATTCTATAAAATTGAGTTAAGCCGTGATGCAAGGACAAATCTAAATAAAGATATACACATATATATATACATATAGATGCAGATATGGATAGATATAGATATAGATATAGATATAGATATAGATATAGATATAGATATAGATATAGATATAGATATAGATATAGATATAGATATAGATATATATATAGATATAGATATAGATATAGATATAGATATAGATAGCAATTTCTACAGAGTTAAATAAGGATTATAATTTTTTTTATATATATTTTTTATCATGGATGAGGTAGTAAGGCGTGAGAGTTGTTGGTTTGATAGACAACTCGATTTTAATGAAACGACACGTGTCCTCCACTCCACGTGTATGTGGCAGCTGGTTTGAGAGTAGATGTGCGCGGGCATGCAATTAGAAAAATGTCAAAGCCAAACAAAAGCACACATCATACCATACCTAATTCGCTATGCAAAAATCACGCCCACCAACTTGTCAGCCAAATGACATTGAAATGTTGCAACCAGTCGAGCGAAAGAGTCAGGGAAAGAGAGACATAGAACGAGAGAACGATAGACGGAGACGAATTGTGTAAAATTACCTTTATTAGCGGGTTTTGCGACGGTGTCACCAAAGCAGCGCAATGGGCAGAGCGTCGAGTTGCCACGTGTTGCACGTGCTATGCACGAGTTGAGCTGTGGGTCTGGTCTGGTCTGGCAGAGAGAAGCGAGGCAAGGACTTTGGCTTACACAACATGAGGTATGTACAACGTATACAAAAGGCAGCTTTATTCAGCATGTGCAAGTAGCGCAGACTGGACAGAGAAATGCTGTTGTTGTTGTTGTCGTCGTTATTGCTGTTGTTGCTGTTGGTGTATAAATTTGGGATTAGTCTGCGCTGGGGGGCTGGGCTTTACCATTAAGCATAAAATTGAGTTGTGTCTCGCGGGTCTGGGAATACGGCGCCAAGCATTTAATATGTGGGATTTGCCAGCTTATGCCAGAGCTCTGACTGTTGTTGTTAGCCCAGTTCGGAGTTCAGAGAGCGGTCAGCGGCTTTTGAGACTGCGAAGCGTTACGGACACGCGACTAATGCCATGCACTAGCTTATTTGATTTATGCATGCGCGTGCGAAGTGCCTGCATGACTGTGTGAGTGTTGAGGAATGGGTAGACCGATGTTAAGAATTAAGTGAAAATTTGTTTTTAAAACGAGATATATGTATAGGTTTAAAATTGGTCACTAAACGGACTGCTTTTATTTAAAGCTCAAATTTAGCTTGATGACCAAAGGCAACAGAGATTAGCAGTGTTGTACTACGTGTTACTTTTTTATTAGCCACAAACAGCGGAGTTAAATTATATTATTAATTTTAACTGTGTTGCCAAACTAAATACATAAAATATGTCAATAAATAAATCATGTTATCTCACTTTAAAATCCTCTTTAAATTAATACACAGTTATTTTGTTCACGAGTTCGGATCTAGGCATGTTTATACAAACTGAGCCCGTTGAAGTAACTCATGATTACTAATTGTCAAAAACTATGGTAACTGACAGCCCATTCAATTTGCGACAAGGTCAGGAGTGCTGTTCATGCGCCTCTTCCTACACTCAAGCTGACATAACTCCTTTGACACGCGTCCAAACAAAACATAAAAATGTCTGACAATTTCATTCAATTTGCGTATGGACAGGCTGACAGACAAAGAGACCAAACAAACAGGCTGGCAACGAGCGTCTGCAGTTGTCACTGGGCCCACTGGCCATAAAAATATTTAAATTTTCTACAAAAATACACCGGGAGAATGCCTCTTGGTACATTGTACATATATATATGTTATGCGTATATACATATATATGTGTGTATTATTGTATTTTATGCATTTGCTGTTGCTTTCACAGCGAAATTTATAGCTTATTTATATAACAATAAAAACTACAACAGCAATACGCACAGCATCAGCAGCAGCACCAACAACAATCACAGAAATAACAACACGCAGACACAACATGAAAATGTCGCCTCTTCTTTTTTCTGGTTGTTGGATGATGCGAAATTCGACGATTGCGACAAAAAAAGGTTAAGTGCAAGTATTTGAACAGAAAATACCCTATACCCATACAAATAACAGAATTGTATACCGTGAAACTTGACTTATCATAGTAGCCTAGTTTGCTGAAACTTAATGCATGGATCGGTTCGATTGTGCATGCCGACAAATGTATTTAATTGACGCCGAAGTGACTACTGCTGCTTGTTAAACACAATTCCACCAGTTTTTTAATGCCACTTTGTTCTCGTTTTTATGGCTACAGGGTATAAAAAACACACGCGTATGAAATATTATGCAAGTGCGTCTGCCTGGCAGTTTGTGAATCTGGGTGTGTATGTGTGTGCATGTGTGTGTGAGCATACAAATTAAACAAGATGCAACACTCAGCCGACTAACTGCCCGTTTCCCTGGCTTCCCCGCCGGGCTGGCAGGCAGACTGCTCTACTGCCATCCTTGCGGCCATTTTGTCTGCCCTTTTTACACCCAGTTCCACTCGGTCCCCACCCATTACCTTGCCACGGTCCGCCCGGCATGACGCGCCGTTGTTGCGGTCGCCGCGGCCTCACTGCCGGCCCCATTTTTGTGGGCGTAACTGCGTTGGCTGGCGCCAGTTGCAGCCGCCATTAAAAATTGCCAACAGCTTGCAAAAAGACGCAAAAACAATGCAAACAGCAACGAGGCTGTATGCAACAGCAACAACATATAGATGAAACATGATGAGAAAAAAAACGAAAACAACAAAAATACGTTGATTTTATAGATGAAAATATATCGCTGTACGTTCAATGACTTTATAGGACATTCACCACAGCCCTATTTGAAAAAAACCATATCAAATTAAACTTTTATGAATTAAAAAATGGAATAGATTGTTTTAATTTAAAACATAATAATTGAAGACTTCTAGTTCATATACAAATTAAATATAATCTTGATCATCATTCAGGTCCGAGTCCTCTCTTTTAAATAAAACTATTCCATAAGCCAAAATAGTATTTTTTAAATATAAATATGACAGTGAAGGCAAATATTACGTGGCTTCTGCAAGAACGATTACAGGTAAGAGCTTTCAGTACATGTATTTGAAAATATATATTGTTCAGTAATCAAAAATGATTGGTAAGTGCGAATTATCATTAAAATGTATAACATATAAATTTTTGCAACTGGCAGTCCTTAACTGCGAAATTTAAATTTCGAATTTAAGTTGTTCCTGCAGTAACAATTCATATTCATAAAAGCGAATATGTATGTCAAACTGTTGGAATAATGTGTCAGCAACTAACCCAGCGGAAAGTCAAACTTTAACTATCGCAAACTCTGTCGTCATTGTCAGTGTCATTGTCACTTCAGTTTGGGGTTGCGGCTTATCTTTTTCGAGCGGTTTGGTAGACAACTTATTTGTCTCATTTTTATAAATTGCTGTTAAACGTAAAAAAAAATTTTTGATTTTATTAATTACTAAAAATGTGTTCTCTTTTCCTTTTTTACAGATGGAACAGCAATTTGTATTTATATTAATTTATGAGATTTTACTATCAATGATTTATGCTTAAATGAAAGCTATTTGATTTTTATGCTTAATACATTAATGTTTAAATAGGTATGAGAAGGTTATAGAGTTTAATCCCTAAATTTATTCGCTAAGTTATAATCTATTATGTACAACAAATTTACGTATAGATTTCTACTTTTGATTCTATAGGCATAAAAAATTAGTTATGCATAATTTCTAATTTAATATTTATAAACTCTCTTAAAATTTCAAAGCTTATCTAACAACTATTTGTAGGGTATACTTTTATCAAATACTTTCAACGAGATATTGGTTGTTGGTTCTTTAATAGATTTTTGTGCTCTATCCTTGTCACATTTATTGCTATTGCATTGTTGGCATTTTGCAAATTAAACGGATTTCCGCTAAAGGCCATTTCCGCTGCCCACTTACCGCCCTGACTACGCCCGCTGCCTGAAAAGCTATTGAAAGCCGCTGCGCTTTTTGCCAATGGCCCCAAACACGAATCTATTTTTTATGCCGTTCATTCTTTTTGTTATATATACGTATTATACTGTAGTATTGACAAATGTTTTCTATTGTTTTTTACGCTCAGCTCTATGCACTATTTTGATTTCAGCAGCAGTATAAAAGAAAGAACCAGATAGAGATACAGCGCGAGGGAGTGAGCGTGTTGTCCGGTTTTTTGCAGTGCAGTTTATGACAGTTGACTGCCCGTGGCGCTGCTTTGAATGTTGTTGTCACAAAAGAAACTTTAATAGAATTTTGCTGGCTATTTGCATTGGTAGCAGCAATTGTCAATTGCTTTCATTATTTGTTTATGCTTTTTTCGCCTTCGTTTATACC